CCCCCCCCTGGCTCCCCCGCGGGCGAAGGCAGCCCGCTGCTTGCCCCGGGCGGGGGGCGCGGAGGCTGCTCGGTGGCTTCCCTGTCGCCTCTCTTGTCTATGTTAGCGTGAACGCACTCATTTTCTTTCAGGTCTTTCTTCCGAGGTCACATTCTCTAGATCGCTTCTTGATTGTTTTACTTCCTGTGGCTGCTCAAGACTTTGTTTAGAGGGTGGTGTCTCAAAAAAAGAGAGGCATTTCCAGTGCAGCACTTGCAGTACGTTATGAAGACGCGGCCTCTCTCTGTTACGGCTCTCTTTATTGCTGTAGGGGAGTAGAGCCCGAGGACAACGGCGTGACCCCTCCGTAGGGCCTGCGGCTGTTTGTGTCTCTGTATTGTCCACTAAAATACTGTGAAGGTTTACGTGAGAAGTGAAGATACCTCGCCTCCAGCTTTGCATGGCACTGTGATTTAATGAAAGAAACACCGGTGAAACTTTTTAGTGGGAATACATAAACCTGAATTCCCTTTCCGTAGCTGTATTCATTTCCTTGTTATCAGTGTTATTTTAATCTGCTGTGATTGAAAGTCCGTGAAGACTTAGCACCACAATTTAAAACTATTTGTGTTTATACATGGAAATGAACTTACTGGAGCCATTGACTGCGCTGTAGCAGTGGATGGATGTGTCAGTGAAGCTGCAGCAGTCACTTCTTTAACAACTGCTCTGAAAATCAAAGTCTTCCTGGGCTTTCAAGTTCGATTCTGACTCACTCCTTACCGCTTCTGAATTAGGCACATCAAAACGAAAGGTGCTGTACTTGTTTTTCTGCTGAGACTTTAAAAAGTGAAAACTGGAAGATTTCTTAATACATTTGGTCAGAATTGTACAAGGTACAAGCATCTCTTGTTTTGTTGTGCGCAGGTCACTAATACCACGCTCTGTCTGAGGAGGTGTCACTGTGTAACCTCTGAACTCCTGAAACATGAAGCAAATACTGGAAATATGTCCAGATCAGCTAGGAATTTCCCATCTTTTTTTTTTTTTTTTTAATCTTTTTGTTTGTTTACAGGTGATCTTTAACTCTGCTTCTTTCGGAGGAAAAAGTAACGAGAAGGTCTATGCCATGACTTTCTCCTATTATTTTGCAGCCCTCTGGATTTAGAGCAGTGTTCCCTCAAAGTGCTGGAGCCAGAAGGGAGTCCCAGCTGGAGTCTCCTGAAACTGCTGGGCGATCGGGGTTGCACTGTGGTGGAGCTTGTGGAGTTCTTGCAGGCCCTGGAGCACACGGAGGCTCTCCAGTGCCTCAGCCATTCAGGTCAGTTCTGGTTTCTGCTTTCAATGCAGCTGTGTGTTTTACACTGGAAATACTGAAGTCTTTGTTTTCTACAGTAAGTAAAAACATCTTTAGTGTTTGAATTCTTGTAATTGATACTCATATGATTACCATAGTAATTGGCTCATATGATTCTGAGATTAAAAGTAAGCCAAGTAGATAAGCAGGCTTAATGTAGTGTTGTTGTAGACTTGGGCTTGGCTGCATGGATGTGACAGGTGCTGACTTGGGTTCTGCATCAAACTGTGCCTTTGGGAGATGCTCACAGAACCGAAGTGCTTGAGTTAGAACGACAAGTAGCGCTGCCAGCCATCTGTTCGGGCTACTGGTTTTGTTAACTGCGTTTCATAGCTTACCCTAATTGAAGGGGAAGGGTCCAATTAGTGCCAGTTCTGGTGCATATTGGATCCAGTCCAACTTGCTAATTGGACAGAAAACCACACTAACTTAGGATAGAACTAGATTGTTTTCTGCTAACATATTCAGCTTGCTTCTTCACAAAAAGTCTAGGAAGTGGGGTAGTGCAAGGGGATGCACAGGTAAGACCATGTAGACCAAGTGCTTCTCACTATAGTACAAAACCAGGGCCCTTTTTTGTGTCCTCCTCCTTCAGGATGTGGTGAAATTCAGCCTACTAGGAAGTTGCAAAAGCTTTTCTTCAGAGCGGGGAGTGGAAATGAGACTAGCAAGCTCTTTGCCATACTGATAGCGGTCCTGTTCTTTGCACAGTGTGAGAAAAGAAGCCATGAGCACTATTGCTAACCTTGGAATTTTTCAAGTAAATTACAGTAATGCTTTGCTTGCTGTACTAGGAGGACCATGGTGTGTTGAATGGGGTGTGGCTGAGTTACATGATAGCTTCATGTGGCTGATGTATACCACTGCAGGCTTGGCAGGGAGGGGGGAATGGGGGTTACATCAGCATGAGTGGATTGTGCTCACAGGGGCAAGAGCTGGGGTGGCAGCACCAGTGGTAGTATGCTGTCCTGCACTACGAATGCTGGTGCCTTTTTATGTTCCCCATATGGTGGTTACTGGGCGAGTACTGAAAACAAGAATGGTCCTGGTTCACGTTGTACTGCAGAGTGCCTGCACGGATCGGTGATCGTCTAAGTATCACCACCATTGAATTGAGCATTTTTGTGCTGCTGTCAGTCAGGTTACATTTTGAAATATGTAATGAAGACTAAATGCTGGGTAAAGCACGAACTTGCTACAGAGCAGAACTGAGAGATAGTGGTATCAATTAGTGAACTGGATCAATAGCTAAGATATCGTATTGAGGAGAACAAGCCAATAAGCAGACTTTTGTCAAGGTCCCTTGGAACTGCAGAGATGATGTTATAAATGAATCTCTTGCAGAACAGTATGATCTGTGATAGAATGGATTCAGCCTCCTCTAAGGAGGACTGGGTGGCTTCGTAGAGACTGAGGAACTGGAATCAAGATAAACCAAAGCAAAAGGTATTTGAAGAAAGTTTAACTCAAAAAGAATTTTAAACTCATTAAAAAGAGATGGTGGGCGTTGATACTTATGGTGAGTTCATTTAAATGTCTAGGGATGGTTGATGCTTGAAGTCAAAGTACAAATTCGTAATTGCCCATTTGTTCTAATGCACCAAAAAGCGTTTAAGTGATGCTCAAGTTCCTTTAGGACTGGGATTGTTTAATGTACGACCTCTGTAGCTGTCATACTGGTTTGCTAGACTGTTTTCTACCAGCTTAGTCAATGCAGTTAAAAAGACACAAAGCTTTGTGAGCCTGTGAGTGTCTTGTTTAATGAGAGCACAGTTGTGATGCTGCATAGTGGTCTGTTTCGGCAGTGATGCTACCTCAGTACCCCTGTGGCAGAGATGTGCTGTTACAAGCTGGGACATCGCTTTGTTCGCAGCAATACAAGAGATGTTTCTGAGAATCACAGACTCCCAGGACCAAGTTCCAGAACCTGTTTGTGTCTCAGAGTTTAGAGACTTGCCTATCCCATTCATGGAATGAACTCCATAGATCTTCTTCCTATAAAGACACAAAATAGTAGTGATAACAACTTCTAAACTTCTCCTTTTTTGTAGTGAGAAAGCGTAGGCGTCTTGTTCCTTGGGTCACCCCTCTGTCCCTTTTCTTCCCTTTTTTAATCTTGTCGTGTGAACTTGCTGGAAATGAATGAAATGCAAAGAGCTTTCTGCCAGGCTAAGAAGGAAAAAAGGCTTAATACGCAATTTGTGGTATTACAGTCTAGTCCTGGTGCAGCCTGCCCTTGTGGGGATTGAAACGAGAGCAGGGAGGTCTTTTTCCTCTGCAGGCAGGTCTCTTACTGCTGCAGTTTAGGCACTTTAATCTGAATGTGAGTAATTGAGGCCGCATTTCCAGAAATGACTGAAGCGTTTACCAGAGTGTAAGTTAAGCATGTAACAGTTGGATTATAGTTAAAATTATGAGTACTTAATTCGCACTGCACATTTCAGTCTGGTAATCACAAACGTCAGTTTGCCATCCTTGATGGTAAAACTTGAGTTTTGCATTTTCCAAGGAAAATCGAAGAAGTATTAGTGTATCTTTGTACTCATTCAGAAAATTAAGCCGAAAGGTTTTTCTCTTTGACCCTTTAAATTCTGTGATGGTTGCAGGAAGTAGCTGTATAGTGCTGAATGAATTGCAGGAAAATAAATGAAACTGAAGAAATTATGAATCAGATTTCTTGGAACTTCTTTGTAATACTTCCAAGGAGTTCAAAATACGAATCTTTCAGAGAATTAGTTTTTTTCCACTACTTTCTTAAGAGATGTTAGTGATGCCAATCAGGAGATTTAAAAAAAAAAAAAGTGGAAGCCTTTGGAAAGAGGGAGTCTGTATTTTTTCTGTCCTTTAAATTGAAATAATATAATTCCTGTTTGTCTTGGTTAATGTTAGGTGATCGTGATGCTCAAAACCTGTACTTAACACACTGCCTTTAACTAGGAGGAACAGCGGAGGACGTGTTAAATGAGGAACTGAGGTAGCGATTTTCAGGGCTACGGTATAGAGGGAAGTTATTTTAGAGGAAGGAAAGCAGGGAATTTTCAAGCCCTGTGGCTGCTTTGGAGTAGCTGCCCGTGTGATCAGCTATTTCAGAACAAGGTGGTGTGTGGAGGAAGTTAGCATAGCTCGCTTGCCTGCTAGACAAAGTTTGTGTGTTTTCCAGATGCCGTGTGATCTCTGTTTCAGTCTGTTGACCACATGGGTTTCTGCTCAGGCTTCAGCTGGTCGATCACATTGTTATGGTTTCTTTCCTCAAACATTCTGCGTTAGGAAAAAGTTCCGATGTGCATCAGTTAAACGCGTGAAGGGAACAAAAGCAGACAAAAAGAATACTCTTGGCAGTGTGTAATAAGCAGGCTTGGAGCAAATGATGATCTTGAGTCTTGTACCAGGATACTTGCAATCTCTTTACAGCTACTTTTTTTACACAGCTTCTGGTTTACTCTGTACTTTTCTGTAAGATCATTCCCCCAGAGATCTGGAATAGTGCTTCTGTTTCAGACTACACTGTCAGCTGCAATGTGCTTTCATTAAACTGTAAAGAAGGAACTGCTTTCTCCCAAAACAGGGAAATCAGACTGACTTTAAAAAAATTAAAATGTTAGTGTCTATACCTACTCCATTTCTGATTGTTCATTTCTGAGAGTAATGAAATGGTGAGGAAGTGCCTCCATACCGCTCACTGTTTCTGTGCTTTTTCTGTAACTAGTTGTACTGGGCCTGCCTAGGGTAGAGTTAATTTTCTTCATAGCAGCTCATGTGGTGCTGTGTTTGAGATTTTTGACCAAACCAGTACTGATACTGCACCAGTGTTCTAGCTTTTGCGAACAGGGCTTGCACAGCATCAAAGCATTCCCTGTTTCTCGCTCTGCCACCCAGTGAATAGATTGGGGGTGTGCAGTAGGCTGGGAGAGGACACAGTCGGGCAACCAAGGAGATACTCCATACCGTATAGCATCATGCTCAGCAATAGAAGGGAAAAGGGAGTTTTGGAGGGCCTAGCCATCTTGTGCTTGGGAACTGGCCGGGCATCAGTCTACCCAGCGGGAGGTGGTGAGTGGTTGCCCTTGCATCACTTGTTTTGTTTTGGTTTCTTCCCTATGCTTCCACTCATCCTTCACTTACTAAACAATTATTATTTTTGTTTGTTGGTCTGTTACATTTTGACCTCCAAGTTCTCTTTTTTTTTTTATTCTTCCGTTCCCTCTTCCCCCATCCTGCTGGGGCTGGGGGACTGTGTGGTGCTTATCTGCCCACCAGGGTTAACCCACAACACTAGTCTTGTAGCAATTAGTCATTAATGTGTAGTATTGCTTGTGGTCCCACGGGGATTGTTAAACGTGTTTTACCATCCATAGCAAATAACGCTTTAAACTGATGATTTTTTGATGGCTTATCAGCTCAGTGTTGCTGAACACCTTGGTCATAGGGCCATGTATTTTTTGTCAGCAATATCGGGTTAAACTTTCTGCTCTGTGGTTGGCTTCCCCCCCTCTTCTTCTGATGACCTTGGTTATGCCACTGGATCTGTGTTTGGGGTCACGCGGTAACTAGATCTCTGGAATGAGCTAGGTTAAGAAAACAACTGGATCATGTCAGACTGGTGTCAGAATTTTGCTCACAATATTTCCTGGCAGTTAAAATTTGAAGTGGAAAATTTTACCTTGCAGGCTGACAAAAGAAAACCCCAGTCCTGTGTTCTGCAGGAGTCAAAGGCATAAAGCTGAAACCAATGCTTCAGCTGAAAAGGCTGCATGAGGAACAGTAGAAACATGCGCTATGTTGTAGTTAAACTGACTCTTACTGTTTTGATCCATCCCTCAGGCTGTGCTTAATCTTAATCTGCAGATTAACAACTCAAGGAAGCTGTTGGGAGTGAGCAAACTCTTAAAACTGGGAATACCTTTCCCAGAAGGGGTCTGTGCTGCCATTGGAAGTATTATTTGCATTAGCGAGTAGGAGCGAGAGGGACTGAAGTATCCGAACAGTAAAGTGTTTGAATGATCTACTTTAAATCTTCAATAAACTCTGTAGAGTACTGATCAATTTAAGCACGGATTTTGTGTAATGGAAGACAATGTTGAGTATCTCAGTCATATAACTAGTTGGAACTGCATGTATACGTGGTACAAACAAATGATTTTCAAGTATATTCAATGACAGAAACTTTCTTTACTCCAAGGATGATTTAAATGCAAATTTAAATTGTGGAATTGTATTTCTTAATAAATGTCCTATGTGTAAATTCTTTTTTTAAAGGTATAAAGATTGTTGTACAGCCAGACTCTCAAGCAGTGCGCTCTGGTCAGGTCGTCAAGCTGTGTTGTTGGGCAACAGGACACCCATTTGTGCATTACCAGTGGTTCAAGCAGGAAAAAGAGGTAATAGTTGATGGAGAATACAGGGGTTTAAGTGGTGAAAATAAGTAGTAATGATTTTGGATTACATTTTTTTTTTTAAGACTGTTAATCTTATTTACAAGGAGAGAAGATTGCTGTATATACACTAATAAAAATAGAAGTTTAAGAAATGCTGCATAGTGACTCTGACAATGTGTTAAAACAATAAGGTGGTGCCGTATGTTCAAGACCACTTCATCCTTGGAGGCTAATCTGGGAATGTGACAGTAAGGAAACTGTTGGCTTAGTTGTCTCTCAGCCTACCAAGAGTTGTAACGCAGGCTACTGGGAAACTGCCACAGCGGAACAAATGCCAGACACTGTTGGCCTTGAACAGATGGAAGCTGGTTTCCTGAGAGTGAGCAGTTGAAGGCCTGAACTCGGTGGTGCCGCAGACTTCTTCACTAAAATACTGGAAGGCATGCGAGCTGGCGTCTCTGGAATTTGAATGGCAGCACTTACACCCATATTTCTGGTCCTGGTTATCTTTCTACAAGATGAATGCACTTTTTTTTCTTAATGTTATTTTATTGTAAGTACTACTTTTAAAAATGCAGTAAGCTCATGGTATTTTAAATTGCGGTTAGGACTGAAATTTTTAACTCATTTTCTACACCTTTCTAAAATTTTATCTAGATCATCCAAAATACGGCTTTAAAATACGGTTACAGTCATTTCCTGCTCATTACAGTTAAAATGTAGGTTTAGTAAAAAATTACTTTTCTGTGAAAGAAAGTTAAAATTTCCTGGTCATAGTTGAATATGTCTTAAGACTAGAGCTGAATGTAACACATGCTGGTTGGAGCAGTGCTTAGGAAAACCTTCCAAGTTATTTATGGAGAAAGGTAAAAATTATTAATTTCAGGAAGAGCTTTTCAACTGGCTTAAAAGCTCAGAATTGTCTTAAGTAGAGGCATTTGAACTATTCTTGGAAGAAAGCCTGTCTCTGAGCTACTAAATACATAGAACAGGACTTTCTCATCCAAAAGGTTCAAATAAATGAAGGAGTTGAGGCTGGTGTTATGGATGTTGAAATAAACGTTCTGATGTTAGACCCTGGTTTAGATGAGCTCAATCTAAATTTAAATATTTCTTGGTTCACCTGTAATTCAGGTTCCACATGGTAATTCTCCAGAGCTGGTTTTGAATCCAGTGAATATAAACGATTCTGGATTTTACATCTGTCGAGTGAACAGTGAATCTTCCTTTGTGTTCAGTCGGTGGGCACGGCTTGAAGTTTGTGATCTCCCGGGTACATCTCACGGTGAGTGGCAAAAACATTGTCTTCTGAAAGTCTGTCTTCCCGCTTGTTAGAGGAACTCGGGTACCCATTGCTGTCTTGCACAGATGTGAAAGAGGACTGATTAAAAACATGGTATCCAATTATTGGGCTCTTGTGCTGGTCACAAAATCAGAAGAGAAATGAAGTTCCACAGTGGTGGATAAGAACAGATAGGTGGAAAACATACACAGTCTCAGATCCTTTTAATTCTTAGAGGATTTTTGGAGCAGAAAAGCAATTCTTTAACTTTCTTGTTGTTTACCTGTTTACCTCTTGTTGTAACTCGCTAATGACTGGACATACACAGTCTATTCTGAATGCCTGCCCCATGGGCTCTGGCCTAATAGTCAGGACTGTTTGTTTCTTCCTCATCTGTGCGCTGCCAGTCTGAGAAGAAAGGTGTCTGGATGAAGGAGACTCTAATGAGGTTCTCTGCCTTCCTAGAAAGAACTCCTGCTTTACCTAGAAGGTTAGAACAGTAAACTGCAGAGGAGTGCATGCACGCTGGAGGCCTGGACACTTTAGAAGCCCTCGATACTGTGGAATGGAGTGTTAACTGCACTCTGAGGAAACAGGACTGAGGTCTGGAATCAAGTTTGGCAGGTAGCACAGTGATGGATCTCTCTTCCAGTCACTTTTTCAGATCGTAATAGGCTGTCACAATCTTAGACATGTACGAGCCAGCAAAGATAAATTGATTAAAGCCCAGCACATTTGTTCTTTGCCAGAACACCTGGGAAAGAAAGAGAGAGGCTGGGGCTCCGTGGACATCTGTTGCAGAGTATGTTTGCTAATGCAGTCTTACCAACTTCATACTTACTGAAATTAACCTATGAGAGGAAGAAACACATGAGTTAAACCGAGTCTTTTTGATGTGAATTGCATCTTCATGGGTTTTATAAATGGTCAACTAAGTCAAATGTGTGTTACCTGCATAATAAAAGCCATTGTAATTCAGCTGTACTGATGTAAGTCCATAGGAGTTTATGGCACTGGCTTGAAGATACCTTTGCTTCAGTGATGGGTCTTATGTCACAAATCAAAGGTGTTTTCCACTGGCATCCCACATATAAAAATTATTCATGTCAGGAAAAGAGACAGAGTCAGTCTTCCAGTAAAAGATCAAAAGCTATTGCAGTGTCATTTGAGGTGACCTTTTTAAATCTTAATCTCAAACGTACTCTCGGTCCCTTATCTAAGTGATGATTTCTTCCGCTTTTCCTCTGCTCCTACTTCAGGTTCTATTCAGGTAGAAACCTGCAGTTTTAGATCTTGCTGATTACACCGAGAAGCTGAGATGAATAGGTTTGTAATGACTACTTTAAAAAAACGTGAGAAAAACAGCAGTGTATTGTTTCACACTTGCAGCAAAAGCTTTGGTGACTAACGGGCAGCAGGTATCCAGACTGGCTTTATGTTCCATGACCCTTGGCCAATCAGGAACCGTGGCATAAATGAACTCTAGTGTGTTTAGGTCTTGATGATGGGTAGAAGGATTAAGAGGCAGGATGGATTGCTCCTTCCTGTAACCTTCCCTTTAGGGTGCTTACAAAGAGACTTAAAAGGGGAATGTAGTGCTTGGACTGAATGAATGCTCTCTATCTCCTCTACCATTTGGCCTGGGATTACTGGTGTTTCAGTTGAACTAGGTGACACTGACTACCATTTCTGCAAACGCTGACTAGGTACGAAATCTTCTATTTCAGCTACTGGCGCTATATATATATATATATATTTTTTTTTTTTTTTCCCCTTTTCCTCTCCCTGATTGCTTTCTTCTTTCAGATATTTTTTCCTCCTCTCTTTTCATTGCTTTCTGTTTGAGAGCTTCACCATTCTCCATTCTGTAAAAGCTGTCATAGCTGTCTTGTGAGCTTGCGCTCAGTGAGGCAGCCGGACACAGCTCTGAAAGATGCTGCCACAGGCTTGGTAGTATGTTTTGCGAGCGATACAACAGGCTGTACCAAGGACAGCCTGTAAATGAGATGGCAGGTAAGGGATGGCACCAGAGACACAAACCCTGTTACCTTTCAATCTCATGTCCTCTCTTTCACTGTCTGTAACTTTTGTGTTCCTTGTCTTAAAGACTAATGCTGTTTAATTTGACTACAACAGCAGTTCCTTTCCATCTTACCTTACTTCTGTCTTCCTGCCCTAAAGGGAAATTAATTCTTTACATTTTACATGTTGAAAGATCCTGCTATCAAGCTGGGACATTCAGAGGGAGAGAGAAGATTCTGTAAAATCCAGAGTGAAAGGGAGTAAAGTTTATTTTGACATATAAAAATCTTTTCTATGATAAAAGTTACAGAAAACAAAGCTCTTTGTAAGAAAGAAAAAACCCACCACTGTTACAGAAGTTGATAGAGAACATGGTAAGCCACAGGGTCTCTGTATTTGAAATGCCATACAGCAGTGGTCATAGAACAGAATATTTGCTCAGACATTTGTCAGTCTTTCCTAACACAGACTTCATACTGGTAGAAATACAGCTTTCCTTTGAAAACACTAATCAACATTGATCATAAATATGAAACATCTGTTTGTAAAATCTTTCAAATACAGGTTTATAATGGGCCAAGAAGGTCAGATGCTACTAGAGCAGAGATACCTATGTCACTGTCTCCCTTTATTTTACTATGCAAAGGAAAATATCATCGCCCCCTAACTGTCAGTCATGAATAGTTCTGATGGCAAAACGTGCGTCTACAATGTTGTCTACAAGTAAAGATGAGTGACCTTGCAGCTGAGATAAAAGGTCACTGGTGTGACCTATACAAGTAGGTCTGGGCTCGCTGTAGTATGTGTCAGCTAGTTGAACTGTTCAGTACGCAGAGATCAGAAACCTTGTCAGCGGAGCACTCGTGTGTGTGTAGTGGATGTTTTAAAAATTAATTTCAACGCTGTGTTTCAATAAATTTCATCATATATAGAAACTGACATCAGCTGGACAGGTCTTTAATGTGTTCAGGGTTTTCTGAATAGGTTTCTTTCCCAAAGACATTTCTATATGGGGACATGTCAGTGGCTGATGTTCATTAAGCATTTTTAGCTTTGGGCTTTTTTTAGTTTATTTACCATAAGGTTTGATGCTTAGTTTAGAATGAGAAGAATAGGGATATGCTAAAACTACCTGACTTTAAGTTTGAAATTCTTATTCCCATGTCCACACTTGCACGCAAGTTGGATCCTCAGTCCATCCTTCAGCAGCCACTCTCCTTTCTACTTGTGCCTTTCTCTGGAGCCTTTGTTATCCTACAGGCAGGAATAAATAATGCAGAAAGGGCTTTGCTTTTTTTCAGCTTCTGGGGTATATTTAATGTGCATTCCTCTTTACTTTCCAACTGAGGAACTGGAAAGCCATTGCTACTCATTTTTAGCATGTCTTACGGGACAAGTAATTTAATTTCATTGCTATTAAAGCAGTCTGTTGTAGTTACAGGAAGATGTGGCCATACGTCGTCAATTCTTGTTAGTCTGTATGCGGTTATTGGCTCACCCTTTCTTTTCTTTTCTCTTCCTTTCTTTTTTATTAAGGGAGCTTAATTGGTCTGCCTGAAAACAAGTTGCGCATTTGCGTTCAGCCTCAGTCACAAAACCTGACAGTGGGGGATGCTTTGGTACTAGAATGTGGAGCTGTTGGAAACCCAATTCCTCATTACCAGTGGTTCAGAAATGGATTTCCCTTGGCAAATGGGAGCAAAAATGTCTACATGGTAAGTTACTGCGAAGTGCCAGCCTTGGGGGACTAATGTGTAACCCCCTTTACCTTATCACATGAAGCTTCCTTGAAGACAATAACGTCTTCGTAGCCTTCATAACCTCTGATGGAAGTGCTTGCTGTAAGTTGTTCTGTTCCATTACTTGTCCATGCTGTTCTGAGTCGCTTGGGTGCATGATTTTGATCCTGAACATGTCTCAGGTGGTAGTCATGGGATGTAAGGCTATAGTGTATTTTGGATTAGTGTGACATACTGGCATAACACAGATTAAGTATCAGTAAGAGTGAAAGCTGCCCTTCCTGTCTTGAACTGCAAAGTACTCTGATTTGTACAACCTGTTACGTTCAGTGCTTAATGTGTCTCAAGTCCGTGAGGTGTATTTGCATTCTTCAGTTTTTGAAAGCATTTCTGTAACACATATGCTGTCGAGCTTACTGAAGAATGAGGGTATCAGCAGCTTTTGGATTCGTTTAGGCTTTGCTTTTAGTTTTCTCTCTTTCTTGCATGTGGGCTTAAATGAAACTGCTACAGGTATTCTTTTGGGTCTGGCGGGATGACTGTGATGATGCTTGCGTAGGTGACTTATGTGGATGTGGAACATCAGGGGACATATTGGTGTCGCGTATTCAATGACCGGGAAGATCAAGACAGCAAGAAGATAGAAGTCATTATAGGTAAGGGATTTTTCTGTTTGATATAGGTCAGCTGATTTATCAATTTCTTCCTTATAATCAGAATTTATTTTTGAAGCTTTCAGTATTAAGCCAAACCCATGCCTTCTGTATTTTTAGTTTATCCATTTGTTAAAATAGCTGTGCTTGCTTGCAGCAAATGGAATTGTACAGCTTTATCAGTTATAAAGTGCTTTGGGTCTTTATGGTAACCAGCACAGAAATGCTACCACTTTGGGGCATTGCTGGCACATACACGGCTTGTCAGCAAGCTGATTTCTTCATGTTGTTTGACAACTAAAAACCAGTTCAACCTTTGTTGGTGATATGAACTGTGTTACACAGAGTCCTTCAACAATCGGGATGGGTGAGATTATTCATAGCGAGCAGAATAAATGAATATAACACAGTTTAGTGCATGTATTTGCAGTAAACTCGAGACATCTGTTTGCATAGCTTCCAGATCTACCTGGGAATACTGTTGCATAATTCATAGGAAAAGTTCTTTCTATCCTATGAAATACTTTAGTACTCCTGAGTTTTAGTAATGATTACTATACGGTGATGTGGTCACTGCTGATTTACACTGCTATAAAACAAGCCAGGTTCCAGAGAAGCTTGGAAGTGACCTTTGTTTTCCACTTCCTGTGCTAACTCATAACTGAGAGCAATTGTCTTCCAATTTTCAACCCCCCCTTAAAACACAAGGAAAGAGAGCTATGGCAGTGGAGTGCACAGAAGGTAAAGTAAATCGTTAGCTGTGAGTCCGTTTCTAAAAGTTGGTGACGGGGATGCCGGCTGTGCTGCTGAAAAGCATGCGTAGGTTAAGAACTTCAGTCTACTTTAAAACACTGATGTGTGATGCAATGTTCCCTCTGCACATGCTTCTCTCTTTGCCTTGATGCCATGATCTAGAGCACACAGGAGAAAACAAGCTTTCCTCTTCTGTAGTATTCAAGGTTGTTTGGTTTTTGCGCTGTTCTTGTGTCCTGTGCTTACAGTTTCCATTGCAATGTAAAGATCTTGAGGTTTCTTTGGCTGGGCTCAGGAAGCAACATCCTTGCAAGAAAAGCTGGAGATGTTTAGGAACCTGGGTGACCTTAGAGAGCTGGATAGAGCGAATTGCACTGTCAGCTCTGCGTCTGCAGGAGGTGTTTCCAGCAACCTGCTGAGGAAGATTTCTGTTCCCTTTTGCATCACTGCAATGGGGAGGAAGAAGTATATTGTGACCTTTAATGTTGATACATTCCTTGATTACTGAGCATCTCAAAGTCTGTAATATTTACCTCAAAGGATCATATATGACGATGTAAGGCTGCTTACAGCAG